TCTCGCTCTGTGTGCGTGTGTGTGTGAGTGTGTGTGTGTGTGTGTGTCTGTCTGTTTCCCTTTCTATCTCCCCTGCCTCTGCCTCTCTAACTCTTTCTCCCACCACTTTTCCTAAGTGCTAATTTGGTTACATCCCCCCACCCAAAATGAACTGATTTCTTGTTTCGTTAGCATTATCATCAATGAAATTGCATATCATTTTTTAAGAGCTTTATGATTTATCACTTATTCATGAATAAGTTGTTTAGACACTAGCTAATAGTCAAAAGCCATCTGTTAAATATACTTCTTATTGCAATGTAGTCAGTATAGAACCTGTTCAATATTATCACTTTCCTGCATTTATTGGCTACTCTAGCTTTTTAAAATTTTGCTCGAGCATGATAGATCTTGCTTACCTGTATTTTATCTCTGTGTAAGTCTTTATGGTTCAAGTGTGTTTCTTATAAACAAGTATCATTGGATATTACATTCTAATACATTTTTATTTTTTTTCTTACACTTGGTAAGTGAGTTAACTTCATTCACATTTATGGATATAATCATTAGTTGCATATTTCTCTTTCTCCTATTCTCTCACTCCCTTTTCTTTCTTTGCTCCTTGCTGTCAATTTACAAAGAAAAAGAAGATGCTGGCAAGAGAGTGTTCTCAGCACCAATATTCTGTGCTTAATATTGTCAACTTCTCCTCCCATTGCCTTGGTTCTCTCTTCTCCTCACCCAGACCAAAAGATCAGGTTCTTAGAATTCATTTTCTTTTACTTCCTGTTTGTCATTCCCTTCTCTGAGCTAATAGTTTGTTTCTCTCATGATTAATGTCTTACTGAATTAGCTCTCCCATTTTAATCATCCCCTTCTCCTTACCCTTTTCCCTAGAGATGAACATATTGCTACACTAAAGTCTTTGTGTTCACATATGCATTCTTCCCTTCAATAGTTTGTTCATATGAAAGTGAAATTCAAGTGCTACCAACTCCCTCTACTCTTTACTCATTTGAATATACTTCTCCTTGTCTCCATTAATTTTGCAAGGTAATAACTCCCCTCCCACATTATGCCTCCTTTCTTTCCTAGCACACCCATTTTTACCTCTCAATTCCCTTTCTTCTCCCTCCCAAGTCCACTCTAATTTTATAGTCTTGGTAATCCCTGATGACATTAAAATATTGAGAAAATGCTTAGATTTTCTTATCTTCCATCAGAATGGGAAAACTCCATCCTCATATAGTCCCTTCTGATTGCTTGTTTATATTTACCTTTTTGTGTTTCTCTTTTCATGTGTATTTATATTTCAAAGTTATTGATAATTTATGGCCTTTTCATCAAGAATGCTTGAATATCCTCTATTTCATTAAAAATCCAATTGCCCCCTTAGTATTCAAGATTCGGTTTTACTGAATAAGTTATTCTCAGCTATAAGCCAACATCTTTTTGCCTTTTGGGAATATCATAGTCTATGTTCTCCAATCCTTTGTAGGAATTTTGTATTCATATTTCTGAGTAAATATTTTCCCTCAAGAGAAACTAAGATCCTCTTAGTTTTATCTTTATATTGGCCATGCCTGGAACAGAATAGTTCCTTGATATATATATATATATATATATATATATATATATATATATATATATATATATGTGTGTGTGTGTGTGTGTGTGTGTGTGTGTGTGTGTGTGTATGTGTGTGTGTGTATAAATATATATAAACATAATATATATTTAAATATATATTTAATATATAATTTTTAATATATAATTATATGTATTATTTATATATAATAATATGTAAAATATATATGAAATATAATATATATTAAATTAGTCAATGAATAAATCAGATTTGTTTTTGTCCCTTTGCTTTAGGCAAGAGGGTTAGTATAACATGATATTCTTTATGATCTTTATAACTATGGGCATTTTAAGAGATTTGAGACAAATAAATGACTTTAGAAATCAGGCAAATCTTGATAACTTAAAGTATTTCATATTGCATATCTATTTGGTGGCAAAGGGGCAAGATAAAGTAAAAACTTACCTCTTGGAACCCAGGACTCCTAAGGATGAAATCTAAGATTGCTGTCAAGGGGAAGTGGGTATAATGGCTGGAATATTTGTGACTTCCATCTTGAGAACATGTTTGGGAAGGATGTACTCTTTAACCTGTCTAAAGCTAATCACTCAGCTAAAATATTCTCCATGAAGTTAGGTTATCTACTTCTCAATTCTGAATTAATTGCTCTAAAACCATCAGAATTATCTGCTTTTTCCTTAAATATTTCCTGAGAAATTTATGCCATCCTATATTTCCTTAGAAAATGTATTGTATTGTCCCAAAGTCTTGTAGACTATAATAATTATACATTTGTATTCAGGTTATTCTGTTCCCCTTCTTTGTTTATCCACATGATTGAACTAAGGAGATTTATTTTAGAATATCTTGGTGGGTGACAGGAATGGAAACACTGACCATTTCATGACTGGATAAAATAACAAGAGAAGTAGCTCACTTTACCGATGCATGTGAGCACCTGTTTTGCAATTTGTCATCTTAGTTACCTGGGGCAGTGAGAGTTTAAATGACACACCAAGGATTACTCAGCCAATATGTATTGCTGGTAAGACACAAAACTTGGTCTTCTTGACTTCAAGGCCATCTCTATATGCACTACATATACATACTACTGGCTTCATTGTGAAATATACAATTCATTCAAGATTCAAATAGCACAGAGTTGATACCAATCCCTCCATTCAGAATTAAAACATTTAGACTTGACTTTTTTCTTCAGGTATATAACCATTTTTTTTCTTCTTTCTAGGCAAGGGTGAACATGGGAAGCCTTATCCTCTCACTGAAGAAGATCATGATGATTCAGCTTACAGAGAAAATGGCTTCAATATTTTTGTGAGCAACAACATTGCTTTGGAGAGATCACTGCCAGATATTCGTCATGCTAAGTATGTAACAACACATTTCACACTCAATAAGGTTATCTTTAGAAATGTATTTCATTCTAGAAACTCTCATCCTATTAAACTTTGTTTTAGTAATTTATCAATGTGTATCAGGGGGTGGGGAAGATTTTGGTCTTTAAAATGTTGAGGATTAAATTTTTAAAAATATATAAATTCAATAAAGTTAATTTCAGAATATATAAAATTTGATTTACTGGAATGTTTCTTGTATGAGATAACTATTCCCTCTGATATTTATCCAGTATTTAAATCACTTGTTCAGAATCAGACAAATAGTATGTATCAAAGACAGACTTTTAACTCAGTCTTAATAACGTGGTACAGTGAAAAGAGCACTGGCGGTGGTATGTAGAAGGATTTAGGATTTATAAGCACTTTTACTTCTCTAAAAGAAGTGAGCAAGGAACCAAATCTATTGGTTATATGGTAGGAGGCAGCACTGTGTTGTGGAAAGAGCACTGTCTTGAGACAGCATTTGAAACCCAGAAGACTTGGGTTCAAATCCTGTCTCTAACACTGTCTTTGTGACCTCTATCAACCTGCATCTTCCTCATTTGTAAAATTAGGGCATTGGATGACAAGATGTTTAAGGCTGTTTTCAGATTCACCTGTGGTCCTATGCATGCCATCAGAATTTCAGGAAGCAACTAGTTGTCCTACAAAACCTACATTATTGTGTTTTTTTTTTCTTTATGAAAACTGCTCTGGGTTATCTGCTTAATTCTTAACAATAAAAAAATAGAATGCCAATATACATCATCTTGAAAGGCAACTTTTTTTTTATTTTTATATTCCTCACATTATTCTTAAAATATCTATTAATTCCATCAAATAATGTCTAGTCTCAGATGGGATTTAGTGATAGCTAAAGAAAATGAAGTTCTGAGGATCTAAGTGTTTATTTTTTATTTTTAACTCAGAAATTTCAAGATTTAACTAAATGTAACATGCTCCTGCATAATCCACTGATATCACATAGAGTGGGCTGTGAAAAAACAATGTCTATGGCATTTCTGGCCTACTGAGAATCAATCAACAAACCTTTATTAATCACCTACTATGTGTGAGAAACTATGCTAAGCATTGGGGCAAAAGACAGTCTCTATCCTTAAAGATCTCACAATCTAATGAAGATGAAGATGAGATGAAGACTTGAGGTTGCTCAATTGTAAAAATAGAGAAAAAGTGGCTAAATAGCATTTTGTAGCAAAAGATCCAAGCAAGTCTGTAAGCCCAGTAGGAGTTACCAATAAAAGAGATGTATTCTGGGGGTGGGAAAACTAAAGCAATCTACTGCTCTATTGGCATGTTGAGAGTAATGGCCTTACCGTAGTTCCAAAGTGAAAATCTCTATCTCTACCTTTAGTCCTATTCCAGTCTGCCTTTTCTAGAGTTTTGGTTCATTATTCAAGTATTTTTACTTTTTCAGTTCCCTCACTTTTGACTAGATCCTTTCCCTCAAAAACAAATATGACTGCTTCCTTTAGCATCAAAAAACAAAAACCTTTCTACAATTCTTCTACTCCCTCAAATGAAGACAATACCTCTTCCCCCTTCACTTTCATTTGGCAGTCTCATTATATATATATACCTTTTGAATTTATTTTCTCATCAAGAACTCAGAAACAAACAAAAAAAAACCCTTTAGATTTAAAAATACTAAGTTTAAGAGTATTTCAGAGACCACAAAATTCAACCTGTACCTGAACAAAAAAACTCATGACAAGTGATTATCCAATATCTACTTGAAAACTTCCTATGGGATAGAACTAATTACCCCTAAGATAGTTTATTCCAATTTTGATCAGCTCTAATTATTTTTAAGAGTTTTTTCCCCCTTCGTTATCTCAGTCAATTAAGGATTTCATCAGTGGAGTTACCTACACTTGTCCTTCATATCACAACTAATCTATGCCTTTTCACCATCCAATGAAACTTGTGTCCCTTTGCTTCCATAAATCTTCCCCAGGAAGACTACAAAATGCTGTGGAGACTTTATTTTAAGTCTCTTAATATTTCTTGGATGCTCCATCTGCTCTCTGGTACTCTTTTCTCATTACATAACTAAGCCACAGATATTTTCAGCCAGGTATCTCTTTGATAACATGTGTGCCTTATATACAAAATCATCATAAATAATATGCTACAATCTTTGTGTATATATTCAAAATACAAAAGTTACTTGCACTTAAATAGAAAGCTCCTTCATAGGCTCTCCTGTGAAAGCTAAATAAACATTATTAGTTTTGGTATTTTCATGTCTCCAAACGTAACATGAAATCTTATTTCATGAAGCATATAGTTATTTTATATTCCTATGTTCATTATAAATATTGATTTTAAAAATACCATTAAAGTAATCATTGTATTAGGTGGCACAGTAGATAGATAATTTTGTCTAGAGTCAGTAAAACTTGAATTCAAATATGACATCAAACACTCATTAAATGTATGAGCCTGAACAAGTCACTTGAGTGCTATCTTCCTCAGTTTCCTCAACTGTAAAGTTGAGATAATAATAGTGCTTACCTCACAAGATTAAAAGAAAAAAAAAAGCCATGAAAGTAATTGTTGTGCTAGCTAGCACAGTGAATCAAAAAATTTGCCTGGAGACAGAAGAATGGTTGATTAGACCAAATCTAAACTGTATAATGGTCCATGGTTGATGAAATCCAATTGTGAGGCCATTAAAAAATTTGTATTAGTGCTATGTGAAAGAAGGAAAGCTATCAAAGGTATGGAAAAATCTTGTACCATGTTATCTAGAAAAGACAAGTGAGAGAATATTAGGAATCAGTGACTTATAAGGCTCTATAAAAATTTACAAGAAAAATGTACACATTCAGATAATACTTGATGAAGATATAAAAAGGGATCTGGTATATAGCAAACTATATCTTTACAATCAAACAATTTTCTTAAAGATATTTTTAAAATTGATTTTTTAAAAGCCATTATGTTCATAAAAGAAGGCTCTCTGTCCACAAATTGTCTTCTATGCATATGGAAAATGGTACAAGTTTTCTTGAAAGACATGTGCCTAAGAAGATGACTTTTGTATGCCTAAGGTAATAGCTTTAGTCATAGAAACTGTTTTGTGTAGATTCAGAAGAATTCCCAATAGATTATTAGGACCTGAAGGTATGTCTCAGTGTGGATGATATTATGTAATGGTGTCAAGCTTCTGAACATTGAAGTGCCTCTTAAGCAAAATTCATAATCAATAAGAAGTTTCAGTGTAGATATCCACAAAAAAATACCAAGTATTCAATAGGAATCAAGAATGTCTTTGTCTACATTGTGATACTCAAATGAAAAGATAACTTATAAACTTGGTATACCTGGGACTCAACCAGGATATGGACAATGAACTGTGTCCCAAGATGAATAGAGGAGGACAGTGGATTGGATTGCATTTGAGAAATGATGCAGTCATTTTAATGGCTCCAAGGATTCTTCCAGAACACAAAGGAACATTTTGCTCACCCTGTTCTTCTGGTGATACAATATGACTCTCAATCATAGTGTATCACAATCTCCTAAGAATTAAAGTTGAGTATAAAATAGAGAAAATGGTGTGAGCAAGAATAAAAATGTTACAAGTGAGAAATTGTGCAAGAGAAATGGCATACAGGATGTGATCTGAGACATATGAGAGGAAGAAAAAGTTTAGTTGAAATGGTATCAAGAATGATGGATGACCGCCATCCTTTCTACTAGCATCCATGTCGTGTCAAGATACTCAAGGTGGATGAACTGCCTGTGGATGATTGATGGGAACGATTGAACAAGATTTGCACAGACTAAATATCTTGAATGAGTCGTGATCTGCATCATGAGAAGGTCTTCCTATATAGATGAGATCATTGATCTATCAAAGGAAGTTGAAATCTGCCCCTTTGTGACACCCTTCATTGCTCCTAGTTCTAATCTCTGGAGACAAGCAGAATAAGTTTAATTTCTTCTACTTGTTAGAACTTCAATACATTGAAGATTATTATTAATTACATGTTATCATATAATGCCTTACCTCCAACCACTTTAAAGTTTTTTTTTCCCCCAGGCTAAATACATTTGGTTCCTTCAAACAATAGTTTTATGCAATGTTCTCTATTCTTTTATAATCTTGCATTGTGTCTTCTGGACACTCTTCACCTTGGTTATATTCTTCCTGAAATATGGCTCTTCACGCAATTTGCTTCATCCTTACTACTCTGCTGAAGCTATTATTTGCAAAAAGATACCTTATTAGCAAATAACATGACTTTTTCTGTCCTCATTCTTCATTAATTCTCTGAGCATTTGCTGTGGAAAGCCATACTCTTCTTGATATATTCACCTCACTTGATTTTTGAGGCACTTCTGTCACAGTTGTCCCTTTTTTTTCTTTCTAATTACCTTTATATGTCTCCATTGCTAGCTCTTTATTATCTTTCTACCCTATAAACATAGGTATCTTCCAAGATCTTTTCCTTGACCTTTTTATCTTCTTTTTTATGGTAATACTAAGATTACAGGTTTATAGCTAAAATATTTTGGTCAAAGACACTGAGACCTAGAGAAGTTATTTTTTTCAAAGGCCACAGATGTAGGAGGTAGCAAAGCTGGTATATGAATTCATATCTTGTGACTTCAACAGCAAAGCTCATTTCAGTAAACCATGCTGCCTCCATATTGTCTTCAATATTCATAATTTACAATATCCAATTAGTAGATTTGGTGTTGATGCTACTGCTGCTGCTGTTATTATTACTTATTACTGTTTCTTATTACTGTTTTAGTCACGTCTGACTCTTTGGGATCCCATTTGGGGTTTTCTTGGCAAAATAATGGAGTGGTATGTCATTTCCTTCTCCAGCTCATTTTACAGATGAGGAAACTGAGGTGAGCAAAGTAAAGTGTCTTGCCCGGGGTCACACTGTGTCTAATCTGGGATAAGAACCAGGGTCTTCCAGACTCCAGTCCCAGTGGTTTATCCACTG